TGTCAGGGATCGCAATCCCGGCGGGAGAGACGGGCTGGCGCTGAAGCTTATAACTAATGCTCGGGATGATGGACACGCGAAGACTCTCGAAAAGGCGATTTCCTAGCTGCTCAGCAAACATATGCAAATTGTATTGCTCCGTAGTTTAAAAATGCATTCGTAGCTTGAAGGTCATTTATTTGCTGTGCCATGAAGAGGTGAAAGACTCACGCTAATAGGCATATTCAAGGCCACTTCAAAGAAAAGAGGGTCTGTTTCAGACATTAAATCCCGTGATTGGCCATAGACAGTCACGGCAATAGCAGTGGAGACAGGGTAATTGACGTCTTCGCCATTGGTATCAGCTTGGTTGGAATTATCCCATTTCCCTCTGTTGGTCTCGCTAGAAGAATCCGCATCCGCTTTTCCTGCTGGCATAGCTGTGTGCAAAAACTCCAGTACCTGGGGCCGGCAGTCATAGGAAGTAACGCTGTGACTCGCTGACAGTGCAATTTGTTGAAGGGTGGCTTGGTGCAGAAGCGGTTGGGCTCCTAGAGATACAGCGAGTGTGTAGAACTGGTGGTAGCTCTGAGCAAAAAGGGTAGTTGAAAGAAAACGGCTTTGATCCCAGAAGAATATCCCGGCAAAAGTCTTTCGGTTTTCTTGAATAAGTCTCAGTGCTTTACAGGCTCTAGCGTGCTCCAACAAAAGCGAAAAACGAATGCCCACAAGTGCTAAAAGGCAAAGCAAGAGCGCTAGTAACACCAACGAGGGAAAGACGAAATCGGCGAGGGAGTTAATATAGATGTAAAGTGCGAATGTAAATTGTGTAAGCATCAGTCAGGGGTCACTCGCTGCGACGCAGAAGCCAAGGTGCAGTACGTGCATTAATAAGAAAATATGCACTGCCCAGTTTTTGCTTTTTTGCTTACATGAGCTTCCATTCCATCCGCATCATTGTCTGGGGCACTCGGCTGCCCGTTGGAATTAGGCCGAGGAAGGAAATGTTGCTTTTGCGATCTCACCGTGCAACCTTCAGTGTTGAAAGCTGTCGCTCGTCGCAGCGTTTCACTGCATTTGTGAGATTCGCAGACACCACTGCATTTGTCATTTTGATAATTGTCTACTGTAGAGGATGCAGCAATGAGGCAAGGTGAAGGGATCACAAGCAGGGGCTCAACAGCCATGTCGTCCATCCATCTTTCCGTTATTCCTGTGTACAAATTTGTTGTAGCTTGGGCTTCATCCGACAGCGGCTGCTGTAAGCCGCGAGTCCCTGAAATCACTCCGTTTGTCTTGACGCTTGCTGATAGCGCGGTCATCGCAGTGGTGGCGCGCTTCGCTTGCTCCGCCAGGTTTTTGTGCCTCCAGAAGAACGAAGAAGTCGTGGTTTCTGGCCTGTTGCTGTACGAGTAATCCTCTTGCATGACTGCGGTTTTGGGAGAAGAAGACAATTGAGGACCCTTTACTGAGTAGAAGTGTGGTTCCGGGAAAATGTTGGCAAGCAGTTTATCTAGCCCCAGCGAGAGAAGACCGTGAGCAACAGCTGCCCTTGGTAAAATCCATGATACGGGAATGTTCCCAACACCTCCGTGAGCTTGAATGAATAAGGGGGAACATGCAGGAATCCGTATAACTTCGCGTACAGCCTTTCCATCAGGCGAAGGTGGAGATCTCGAGGCGCTGCCACAGCTAGCTTCTGAATTTAAGTGATAAGCTATTTCATGCATGGTAGACTTTTCAGATTGATCAAGTGGTAGAGAATCAATTTTCACCGACGAACTCCCAGGAACTAGGAGATGCTTGTTGCTACTAGTACAAGGAGGTGAACTTGTAGATGCTGAGGGATCATCTCTTGTTCTAACGCTTCGTAGTGTATCAGTAGAGCAGCACGAGAAGCCAGCAGATAAGCTCCCGGTAGGCGTTTCGAGGACCGCTACAGCTGGATGGGGGAAGACCTGCAACACGATTATAGTCACCATGCACTGCAATGGCGTTTCCTTCGAAGTCTTTATTGTGAATTACTCTCTAATGATATGAACGTGCAAATGCTGTTTATATCAGATGGGCCTGTGGTTGAGGTGACAGTGTGACTCTGTTTATTTGCAAACCGACTGGCGAATAGGGTTGGGCAGCGGGAAGGTGGTCCGGCTGAAAAGCATGTGTATTAGGAGAATGCCTTTTGACAACGAACGCACCAGGACGGGTGTAGGTAGGTTATTTCGAATGGAGATTGTCGATGAGAAATACGTATTAAAGGTCCTGCTGCTTTGTATAAATACTGTTTTGATAAGAATGCGAACGGAAGAGTGCAGCAACTCGTGACGTATCTTTTTCCGTGCATCCCTAGGAATTGGGTGATTTAAAGGCGCCGGTATCGTTAGCGGTAGTTCGCGGATGGAAACTTGGCTGCCGTCGAGGTTAAAATCGTCTATTTCAAATGCTGATCCCATAATGACAACGCGAACGACCACCTTCCTCGTCTGGCCCTGGAGGCACAACACGGAAAAGGTTTCTGCCGAGGCTTGTGCTGAACGAGTGTAGGGCACATCAGCTGCGACATGCTTCTTAACGAAAGCTGCGGAAACAAGGGGAACTTACATGGTCGTCTAAAGGCACATGGAAGCTTTCCTCATGGCGTAGAAGTCTCCAGCCTCGAGTTCCTTCGTCCACCATTGCTGGGGATGCGAGCAAGGCACCTTTGCTATCAGGAGAGGCCACAGAAGTGCAGAAACTGCGGTCTTTGGGGACAAAACAGTCTCCAGCGTATGCCAATGCTCCTTCTTTGGGCCCATTAGTAGGATTGGATGCCGTTTCTACAAGTCCCGCCAGAGCTTTCCGACGATGAACAGCAAAGTCATCCGTTACAAGGCGATTAGCCAATGTCAGAGAGTTGCTATTTTCTCCCTGTACTTCTACTGTACGCTTTTCCCGACTCGTTACATGAACAAATAGAGGCAACCCAGTGAGGTTTACTCTGGAGAGCAGCAATCAGCAAGGTTGCTCGGATACCATCATTACTAGGCAGCAGGCAGGCAAAGCGTTGTCAGCATCTTCTCGGCAGTATGAAAGGTCATGAATAGTAGTGAAACCTACAGTAAGGGTAAAGACTGATCTTCCGCGAGGATTGTATCGTGGGAATGATTTCGCGGGGTCTTCGAGGGGTACCGGATAGCTTCGCGAAAATGAGCAAGCCTGCCTCTACCGTTGTCAGCCTCCGTTTTTTCCAGGTCATTTTTGAACTTGTTTGTTGATTCATTATCATCAAGCTGTGGCAAAGCGGAATTTGCAGGGCTACAGGTTCTGACAGAAGATTGGCAGTTCTCACTGTGTTCTTGACTGGCGCCTGTTTCACCTCCGCTGCTAGGTTCAATTATTGTTTGCATGATCTGCGTATTCGAGAGGAAGTCAGCGCCAGCTGGTCCTACGCTCCTTGTAGGAAAATCCGTACTTTTTGTGTCACTTTTGGAATGCAGAAGAAAGCCTGTTGGTAAAAGCCAAATTGTGTCTGGACGAGCGTGCTCGTCCCATGCTGAACTGGAACGTGATTGAGCAGAGCAAACAAACTAGCAAGCATAATGATAAAAGTGAGTGAAGTTGGTGAAGTGAGTAAACTTCGATGCGGCAATCGCCACGCTAGCAGGACTCAAAATCAGGTGCTCGAGTTGTTGGTAGTTCGCCAGCGAATATTGCGAACTTACTAGAAGAGGCACTGTCTTCAAGAGCGGCACGCAGACGTTGCTGCCTGTTCAGGGAAGAAGGGACAGCATGATTGGATGATACCACATTGCAGATTTCAGCAAACACGTAACGAGCTGAAGAAGAAAATCAACGAGACTGAGCACTGGTTTACGAGTGCGCCTTACTTGTTAAGTTGCTCCTGGAGAGCACGTTGAGCTGCCTCTATGAGATTTGCAGTATCCAAGATTGAATCCATAAGAAAAGGAGCCGTAGTCACATTTATCCAGGTGCAACCCACTTCTGCGCAGAGTTCCGTTCCGTATTTGCCCCAAATTTTGGCGAGCTTCTGGAGGTTCTCGATGCGGTCACTTGCATGTTGATAATAGGGAGCTTGTGTAAGGTGACCATCCACAGTCTCAGAATTAACGGGAACGTCCATAAGAAACAATGGGGATTTTCTGTTTTGCGTGCTGCTTGGCTTGGTGTTCCTCCCAAAATGAGAGCTACGCAGCCGTCTTTTCTCCACTGTGGGAGACTTCTTCTGGGTTCTAGAAGTCCATCCAGATCGTGTTCGGTGCAGCACTGTAGGCTTATCAGTACAAGAGAGTGTGCTTCTCCCTTCAGGAGGACACGCTGGTAACAGCTTCAGCAAAAGATCTGCTGGAGTCTGCGCAGTAGTAGCAAACATGACTCATGGACTCTCACAAGCCACGCATCAAGCCACAAGGTAAATTCCCTTTGTTGGCATTGCTAAGTATGAAGACGTACGTATCGAATTTTCAAAGTGCACAGCCACGGTTCTAGGACAGACTCCAGAGCTATTCGTTCCTTGTGCAGTGCCTCCGCGGAGAGAATAAGACTAATGCCAAAAGAGAAGCCTTTTTGGTCCTCCAAAACTGTCCGACGTGCTTCTAAAGAAGGGAGAGGAGTCCCACACGAAATACTGGAAAATGTTAAGTCACGGGACTTCCTTATTTGTGGCCGCCTATAGTTACCTGGAGCAACCGCGTCGGAAGAGGAAGCTTTCACGACAAATCGGCCACCCAGTGAGTTTTTCTGGAGTTGTTTTGCTATAGCGCCATTCAAGTGGGCTGGCTTTTCCAGTTTTGATTTATTGTAGTGGAGCCTTGGAGAGGATAGACGCCTGCAGCAGGTTGAAGGGCGGAATTAATAGGAAGTTTTGAATTTTTGTCCTTGATTGCAGAAGTTGCAACCACAATAGAAGACTGACTCACCCCAAGCAAGCAGTTAAGGAGGGCAGTTGCCAAAGGATTTGCCATTACAGATGGCGGCTGAACGTAAAGTGAAAAGTGCATAGTAGGTAGGGGATATTGCAGGACTCACTCCAGAGCAGAATATATTTCCATGTCCTCCACTGTGAAATGTAGAGATGGGCTTTCCAGCTGAATGCATTCCATCTTAAGCTTCACATTCAGAGCAGCATTCAGTTTGTTTAGTGATTCCCAAATCCATGTCAAGACATTCGTTGTTTCTTTGTTATCTCCTGTGGTATATTCAAGGGGTGCTTCATTGAGTTGTTCTTTGCTCGTGCAATTGGTTTCCTTAATTGGTAAATCTCTTAAGCCACCTACGGGCCTGCAGTTAAAGCCGTTCCTGGTATCTCCTGGTACTTTCCTGTCAAATAAACTAGTGGGGAGGCTGCTCCCAGATTCCGCTGTTTTGAAAGACAGCTGGAGGCTTCCATCACACGAGGGCAATGAATCCACAAGAAAATAGCTGTTTCCAGGGATCAAGCAATTTGCGTGAGAAGCAAGGCGATGAATATTGGGGTAATACTCTTCTCCATTGACTGCTGGCGTCGCGAAGTCAGCAGGAGACCCACCGATTCGGGAAACACCACCTGATTGTTTCATTGTACCACCACTTTGCGAGTCTTTTAAACAGCGTTTGGGTTCTTTCGCTTCTGGAACGTCCGTAGAATTTGGGAGAAAGTACTTCTGTAACAACTGAAACAAAGAGACTCCACCGACGACTACGGAAGGCTCCAAGTTTACCTGTGATTAGACAGCACATAGAATCATAATCTTCAGCTTCCAGGGTGTCACTAGTATATATGCCATGTGAAGCTCATTTCGTTTGCTGCAGCTTTTAAAAGTTTACTTTTTCGATAACGTCGTCTATTTGTTGCTAATGGCCGTACTTACTATCAGCGGGTCGAGCTCCAACAGCAAATCCCCTGCACTTTCGGAACGCTCTGCTGTCCGTAACTGGCGAGGTGTGCACCGCACTTTGGAGGAGGCTGACTGCAGACTATTAACATATCTCTCAGGCATATCGTTAGCCATGCAGTCCGCTGCATGCTGCCGTACATGGCTTTGCACGGCGGCGTCATTTTTGCTGCTGGACGTTTCAAAAGATTTGTAGGACGCTGTTATTACGCAACGACAGCCATCAACAATGCTTTGTTTGCGCACAAGTAACTGACTGTAGGCAGAGGCTCTGCCTTTACGGCGAAATTCCAGAGTGGCTCGGAAGCCCCTGCTTTGGTACGTGGTGTTTGTTGTCGGGAGCTCCAGCACGGAATTCGTGATCATTTGAGATACAGTTGAAGCGGCAGACCACCCCTCTCTGTTTTTGTCGTACAAGCTCTTCGTAATTTGCTGGCTGTCGAGAAGTGTTGGCGGGGAAGCCTCCTGATTGGCGAATCCAGAAGGTCTCAAGCAACCTCCCCGGGCAGGAAAACCTTGAATCTCCAATTCTGAGAAGCACTTCGTCTTCTTCCAGCTCTCAACTAGCTCAGAAAACCCCTTTTGGCTCTGGATATCACCTTGTCCTAGCAGCATCTCTGCACGGATTTGGTAGATGCTTCCAACAAGCCTCATGCATTGTTTTTCTCCCGCTGTTCCGGCTACCTTGTCTTGAGGACCTTCAGCGTTTTCTAAGCAGGAACCTTCTTTAGGCAAGCCTACCAAGCGGCATTCTGAATAAAACGAGACCGCCGTTGAGCATGAAACGACGCAAATGGGGGGGGCTAAAGCTACTAACGTTTCGAGTAAATCCACCATCCCTGGCCTTAATGCTCTGTCCGTTCCAAGTTTTCCGTTCATCCTGCTTTTCTTGAATGCGGTGGCCGAAATAGCCATGCTTTTGAAAGGATCTGGTGCAGTGAAACTTAAAAGTCGCTCTGGCTTATCTGGGGGATGAGCCTGCGTCTTTTTCTTTACTTCAGAGTCCTCCCCAAAACGCTTCGTAGCCGTACCGTGCCGCTGCGAAAAACTTGGGGTCCGTTCAGTCCAAGCCAAGCCATCATCACTACAGTACACCTGTGCTAAGGAAACGTCGGGAAATGGCGAAGGCGTACTCACGGGAAGGATCAATTCACAGTGACTTAGGATAATACTAACACGGGCTCTCCATGGTAGTTCATCACCGTTTTGCCTAATCAGGGTGGCGTCCAAGCTACCGCCATCCCACCTAGTGCCTGCTTCGGTCTCTTTCTTACGCCTTGGACCAGCGATGGTTTTACCCTCCTCTGCAGAAGTTTGAGGGAACTGCTGAACATGATTTTCACATGCTGAAACTGGGGATATGTCTCTGGGTGGCGCTGATGATCCGGACGAAAGAGAAGCTGTATAGGCTTCACTGGCTTGACTAATCATTTCTCCAATAATGCCTGAGTTATACAGAACAACATTTCCGTTGCCATATAAAGTGGAATTGAAGCAAAAGTAAAGAGTTGTGCCTTCTCCCCATCGTTTTCACCTACCAAGTAGTTCTGAGAGCACCTCCCAATCCAGCGTTAGCCTGAGCGGGCTGCAGCGGATATCGACAGAACACAGTAGCGCTTTCAGGCATAGCGAAGCCTCAACAGAAACAGCAGGACCTTTGGCACTGAGCGCCTTCCATGTCCTCGTCGACGCTAGTGCAGCATGCAAATGTGCTGGCACAAGAAAGCATCGTCCTCCACACAAATCTTCAACCAAGACTTCTTCTTCTGCAGCGTCACTGCTATGGACATCAGAAGAGGATGAATTACGGCTATAGTATGAATCTCCTTCAGTTTCTTCAACTGGTTGCTTCCATAGCTGTGACAGGGTTCTAGCACGGGTAGCCGCGTTGCCAGCTTCAGACTCGTATCCGGAAGCTTGCGTGTGTACCTTAGAAGGCAACTGATTTGCGTAAGGCGGACTTGCTTCCGGAGTTTCCATTCCGGGGAAGGCGGGTGGGAACATCCACCGGGTAGTTAGCCTCACCCTTTCGCTGTGTAATGCCTTTTGTAAAGCCAATATTTCGGAAGGATGAAGCTTTTCCTTAGAAGAGGAACTATTGTGAGAAGCTGCAGCCTGAACTAATGCAGCCGCTATATCACCCTCATCGTCTTCAGCATCAATACTGTTGGGTGTATGCGTTAGTGTAAACTGAAGTAATGGAGTAAGCTTGCCTTGCTTCGCTGTAGGCAGCGTAGGCAGAAAGGCTGAAGAAGCTGCATCGTTGACAGTATGGTCTAAATACGCAAACCCAGTCGCTGGGTAGTCTTTCGAAGATAAAGAGCGCACATCAGCAAGTCTAGCTTCTCGTTTTCTGTGTTCAACTGCGCTCTCTTTAAGTAATGTGGGCCAGCCGCGGCTTTCTTCCGTTGCTTCGGGTGGTTCAAGACACATACAGTCATTCGCTTCACGCCGACCCAGAGCTACATATATTTCGTCGAAGCTTGCCCTTCCCGTTGTCTTCGTGCTTCGAGACGTACTGCCCAGCCGGATACGCGAGCTATTGACCCCGAATTTCACCAGAAGACTGTTATTGACGAGGCTCTTAAGGTTCTTCGTGTGAAGGTGCTCCAAGGTCACTGCATGTTCAGCTTCGTTTCCACGTACAAAACTGCATTTGCTCGCCTTGCTCTCTTTATACAGTCGAAATTCAAAAATCGAGAGGCTCAGCCTTATGTCAAATCCAACTAAGCCGTTCGTTGGGCTTTGTTGAGGACTGTGCTGTGCTGCGGGGACGTTAGCATTGCTGCCATCAACATCAAGTGGTTCCTTGCTGGAGTTTTCCGCCGTCTGGAAGCTTTCAACGGCCTTTCTCTTCGAGTCCTCGGAAAGAGAGGGCACTAACAATGTTGAAGAGCCCTCTGGAAAATCTGGAGAAAGCGCTGCGCCGTTACAAGCTCCCGATTCCGCAGGATCTTCAGCTGGCAAGATAGCTGACTGCACCCCACAACTAGGAAGCATTCGATCAGTGCTTCTATTAGGTGCTACTTGGTCTGGCACAGGCAAACCAGAGCAACGGAGACTGCGATGAAGATACAGGGCAACTCGTTGTAGAGCAGAGCCTTTCTCAATATTTTGCAGGGAGTCCAAGCTCCCCTTCGTCGAGGCATCGTTCAGGCCTCCAGAATCTCCATCAACTAATGTCTTCCAGCGTGCTCGAGTGCTGTAAGCTCGAACAATATCAATTGTTCGCCTCCTGCGGTTTTTTTTGTCCTGAAGCAGGTACGCTCATGTTGGGGATGGCTGTGGCTAGCATTCTAGGACGGAATCTTTGAAGTGAAATGAGCTGTACGACAGAACACGGTATGTATATGCCTATGGCTGAGCGAATATAACGAAGGTTGCAGTATGGCACAAAGAGCAGCCAGCCACGGGTACCAGAGTATGGCATTAGAGCACTTCTGTTTTGTGAAAGCACAGTGCAATCCGTGGCTCGAGTCTGCACGGGAAAATGAGTAGACACACCTTCTTGTTTCTGACACAGGACTCTCGCCGCGGTATTTCAGAACTTGGAACTTCCATATCCTTCTGGGGCGGCGTTCGTATGGAACTTTGTGAGCTAGAGATGGGCACAACGTGTGAGTCAATATCAGAAACTGGTCGCTCATTCCACAATGACAGGAAAGCTTGTTGCAGGGCGTTCACCTGGGAGAAGAGCCCAACAAGAGCCGTGATATCCTTATCCGTCAAACCAATACAAACTCCGCTGAACGCAAAGACCGGAAAGCTGCGGAGCCACGAAATAGTAGCGTAACGCCATCAGACACACACTATGGAAAATACATCCAATCAGAGGTGACCAACATGAAAGAAGAACTGATTTTCTTGTGCAGGGTATGGTGTCTAGAGTCTAGTTTACCTGAAACCTTGATCCTGAAGAGTGATTCGAAATGCAGGAAGACCTGTCTGACTGTGAATACTATAACAGACGTCGAAATTTGCAGTCATGCCTGTTGGCCATAAAATAAACTCATTGGTCCTCTTCGCAAGGCAAATGGAACACCCAAGAGTATCCATATCTTCAGTGGCTGGTTTAATGGGCCTCTCTGCAGCTTCTTCTACCTGATATTCTCTGCCCTCAAGCACCATGCCTCGGCGACTCTTTGCAGCAGAGCGTACTTCAGGGGAATCACAGCGTCTGCATCGACTTCGTGAGGATGACTCAACTCCCGGAAGACCAGATTCAGCAGCATCTGATCTCACAAAAGCAGAGCTGCTTCGTGGGAATTCTGCCTTCGTTTCCGGTGAAAGAGAGCAGAAGCTCACATGGCAGGCAGAGAGTCCCCACTCAACTTGCTGACAATCGATCACCCGCCGCGCACATGCTCCTGTGACAGCCATCGTGTATCTGTCGTATGCTTTGTGGAACGCTGCTGGAGAGGTTACTGGCGGCTCCTTGTGCCAAAGCTGTAGGCTGCTGTCAACAGAAACGGCACCAGAGTGAAAGAGAAGTCCCCGACAGTGCATATCCTTATGACTAAATGGAAGGAGCAATTTCTGAGGGACGGGAATATCAACGCATATATCGACTGTTGGATGGTCGACTTCCCCTACAAGAAGCCTGGCAAGAAACAATTCGTTCCGATGTAATGCCTCTTGAACTTCTTTGCTGGCAGCTTCTAGGAGGCTGCTTCCCTCGACAAGATGCACTGGCTCCTGTAGGGACTGCACTACAAATGCTACTGCAGCGGGCGTGACCGTGCATAAGAGCGAACCATGAGTTTGGACGTAGAGGCGCATATCCGGGATACCGTCAAGAGGCACGTAAACTTTATCAAACCGTAGCCACCCGCCTGCTGCAGATTCATTATTACCGCGTTTGTTATTTCTGTACGCATTGGAAGTCTTCTTCAGGGGCTCAAACGGGCAGCCTCCTCGCCATGTGCAATTTGTGCTCCAGTCTAAGATGCATGCACTGGTGCCAGGTTGCAGTGGCGATACTGGAGGGTTGTCCAGACCATGCTTGGATAGGCAGCGCGGATGACTGCAAGGTGAGAGATATATATCTGCGTAATTTCCTTTGTGCCGGCCTTTGCAGGGTTCTGTTGGACCTTCAGTGTTAAGTTTCGTATGCGAACTACTGGCTATAATACGACGATGAGACAATTCTGGCATAAGGTTGTCAATTACTTTTACCCCCTCAAAAGCGGCGACCACCGACATTCGGAGATCGTAATACATTGCGATATGAGTGTAAAGCTCATCTAATGTCACACGTATGCAGGCAGGGGCTTCATAAGCAGCTGCTAAAGTCACCTCGAGGTCGTCGAGCTGGACGGCAAACTGCATGCTTTTGGAAAACCGCTGTGGCTGCATTTGTTGTATGCACTTTGCCATCAGAAGCTCTGCCTCCGAAGCTGCAGATACTTCTTCTGCCACTTCTTCCATAAGTCCTTGCACTGAGTCCACCTGTGCCTGGCGCTTCAACGGGAAAATATTGAATTCAAGAGCGTCAGCGTTGCCACTCTCGTCTGTGCTGTTTGAGTTATCTTCTGAGGAGTTCTCGGAAACCACGGTCATACCTGTAGCCACTGGGAATCGTTGCTCGCAGTGCGTTACCCCAAAAGCGTGGCGGGATCGAGTCTCTTGCTTCAAATCCTGAAGCACGAGCTGTCGTATGGGAAGAATGACAGTTGGCCAATACGTAGTCTCAAATTGTTGAATGAAATGCTCATCAAGGGCCATTTGGGCAGCCCGTTCGCTGCCGCCTGCAACGGCAGAGCCGTGAAACATCGCGTCCATACAGCCTTCAGGTTGTTCCATGTCAAGTGTCCTTCCACTGTTCCTGGCTGCCAGCACGTGAGCTAGGAGGCGTCGACGCCAGGCAGACTGGTAGGTCATCATCTCCTCCGCAGTCGGGATGCGCTCCCTATGCAAAGCCGCACACATCTCTACTTCGGCGCATCTTGTGGAAGGATGGGTAAAAGGGGAGATAAATGAAAGCACTCAACGCTGAGTTACTTACAGGCATTCCGCATAAACTCCAGAAACAAATTCCTGGTACAAAATAATTGCATAGTGGGCCCAACGAAAGATACATGCTACCTGAAACGGCGTGAATTGCAGGAGACTCTTCCTTGATAGGACAGTGATTGTTATCGCAGGGAGTGGCTCCTCATCCGAATCCAATGTAAGTGCTGCTCTTCCCTTGGGTTCTCGTGTGTTCTGCGACCCCCCAACAGTCTCATTGCCTCCTGAGTCTGAATAAGAGGCAACCGGGAAAGGACGCGGGAACGTCCTTTCAGTTTCTGGAGAGGGAGCTGTGGGACGCTGCACGCATCTCACCCTGAGCTCTACCTCGCTTGGCTTGAAGATGTACAGGTGATGTGAGCCTGTCTGATTTGCAATCCGCCACAACTCTGTCGGGCAGTACAGGTCACTAAAACGCAACAGTCCAGATGCATTGTCCTCGTGACGTGCTTCTGCATTTGATAAATGTGTCCTCGTGTCTTTTGCTTTTCCCGAAGTCGCAACAGGCCGAACACTAGAGTCCTCTTCTGAGCTGTGTTGAAGGCCCAGCGTTGTTTCTGCCAAGCGTCTTTTCGAGAGCACTGCTTCACCCCTTGCCGTAGGAAAGCTTGTTGGCTGTTGGTCCTTGTCAGTATCCTCTGGTATGGGCTTGCGTCTTTCAGATATGGAAGTACCACGCAGCCTTTTACTGAGCAACGCGTGGCTCAAGGCAGCAAGCGGCAAAGCTCTAGCGATGCCGAGCCCTGCATTTTGGCCTGGCTTGCGCAAATGAGACGAAAGCGTAGCTTCAGTTAGCTTAAGGGAAGGGTCATTCCCAAGTAACACCTTTTCTACATCTTGAAGGATCGATGCCCTGTATGCAGCTGGGTATGGTACCCACGACGCATGTTCGTGCCCATCGTTGATAGGCTCAAGGTAAAGACATGCTTGCTCTATGACCGTTTTCAAGTGGAAACATTCAGGTATCTTCTCAACAGTGCCCCTAATTTCTTGATGATTGCGAAGTTTTCTTAGCCAATCAAACCAGCTCTTAGGGCATGCATCTTGTGAGGCCAGTGGAGAAGTTACATCGCTGTTGCAGGATGCGCCATTCTTGTTGGAGTGCTGCGGCTGCTCCTCCCACTTGGAGTCACACCGGACGTTGTACAAGCGTGTTGTGCGCAAACCAAAAGCAAAATGCTGTTTCGAGGCTGTTTCTGTATCTTCGAGTCTCACTTCTAGCTTAGCCACTGATAGTCGTATCCTTTGAATAATTGCATAGGTTGCTCTTTGGAGCAGAGAGGGAAGACCTGATTCCTCTCGCGCATAGGTCAAGCACTCGTCCGTCAAAAGGATAAGGCTTCGCTGTTGATCACGCAGGGCTTGCTCCCTCTCGACGCTCCAGGCTGATGGAGGCTGCGTGGTGCCTATTACCATTACATCCTCAGCAGACAGAAGTATGGGCGCTGAAAGTAGGCGCAACAAATTGAGCTGTGGAGGAAGTAACACACACATTAAGAGACTTCCGCAACACTAGGTGATTCCCTAGTGCCGTGCGAAACAACCCAATAATAACGAAACTAGTACGTAGGACCGTGCAAAACATTCCGATAACAACGAAACCAGTACTTGGATATGCGCTACATCGAAAAGCACAAAACGTCAACCCTATCGGTTGACCGCCTTCTGGCCACTGTGGCTTGCAACAATTCGAATGAGCCATACTTTAATCTCGAGCTTTCCTATGTGTCCGTATGTAACATCTACCGGTAGCGAAAATGCCGACAAGGCATCTACTTTAATCCTCAAGTTCCGCAGGACCACGCTACCCTTCAGGATTGACGTATTTAGTTGGTTAGGCTCCAGGTCCTCAAACACAGCAGAAAGCGCCGTGTTGATATATGGTAGCAAAAAAGAATTCAGCATTTTTTCTATACAAGAAAAATGTGCTAAGCAGGCGTACGGGACTCTATGGGCAGCTGCGAGACGCCTAGCGGCATTCTCACTCGCCCTGCGCTACGATCTACAGCGCGTTGTTCTTTCGCGCCTATATGAGCACTATGCCAGTAAGTCAAAACACTGTATCATCTTAGATAGTTACATAATTTGGAGCCCTATACCTAAATGGAAAACAACCGGCCTGCCCCACGGCCCACCACTAATATGTGCATGCATGCAGGCGGCGGTAGCCCGTAGTTCCCTGCGTGGGGCGACCTTATCCTGTAGAGCTTCTCATGCGAAATAAGCGTATAAAGAGAGTCTGGGACTTCGACAGGAATACCAGTCATCTTGAAGTCAAGTGCGCGGAATGCTACTGGCGTAATGGCACTGAGAGTGCCGTTCTACCACTGTTGTTTCCGTGGGTTACCACTGTGCGCTAGAACGCAGAATATTCCGACGCTTGTGGTTGCTGCTTGCTACTACAGTCAATTTGTAGGATACATTTGTCGTGTGCCTAATTCTATTCTGGGCAACAGCTTCCGGCTGTGCACTCGTGCATAAAGCGTAAGACAGTCCTCAGCTCGGTGCCTTGTCCAGTGGAACCTGAAATGTTCCTTAATGTCGTATTCAGGGTATCTTCGTAAAACTGTGCGCTTTTTCACATGCTGTTAGATAGCCTGAGCCCCTCTGTTGAAGCTGTGTACTATCTCATCGTCTTCGCTGTATGTTAAGATTTGCCATTCGGGTGTTTCCTCTTCTTCTAGCAATCCTTTCCAACTATTATTTTTGTTTTCTCTTACTATGGTAACAGCTAGATAATCGTGAGTTCTAACACCATAGTTGCAATCATCACATTGTCCAACTTCTCTCACGATGCACTGAGCGCTTCTGAGAAGTTCCGAACCTGGCGAACGTATTCATAATTTCTTGTTCCCACGGCTGTTTAATTTGTTTTCTGGCTTGGTCTATCTGGCATTGGCTCAAGCTCAGTGCATAGTCAAATCGCCCACTTGCCCGGTTCTACAGCTCTCCAGAAGACTGTCAACGTGTTTGTCACAGGACGCTCGCCATACCAAGCCATGCAGCCGGACAAGTTTAGTCTAGCAAGTCTCATAAATGAGGGCAATCTTGCTCCCAACAGTAAACATGGGAACTATGGCGAAACAGTTATGCTGAGCAGTCCACCTGCGTAGCGTTGTTAATGTTGGCGAATGGTTTCTTCAGACATGGCTGGTCACAATCTATGAGAATTGCTGAGTCCGGGAGTTCAGCAGGGTGAGAACTCGTCTCCATCCCTTATATGAGCTATTAACCGATTCGAACGATTCCTAGTCAGCATACATTCGCATGCCCCACAAAAGGATGCAGCTTGAATGTTTTGCGACATATATGAACTGCATAGCGAATTCAGGTTGCCTCACCTGCGCTCTCTAGGTCGACAGGGGATGCTGGCGGGATTGAGGAATGGCCGAGTTTCTGTAGCTCTAAAATGGCCGACAGTACCCCGTTTCGCACTATGAACTGATTGAAACTGATTAGATAGACTCCTCGCACTCGGAGGAAAGTGTAGACCGCTTCTTGCTGTTTCTCCCCAGCAGTTACTCCGAAACTACTGCACCTAGCTCGCCAGTGTGACGTGCATTGTGCACAATAAATAAACAATAAAAGGTGCTCGGAAAGTGAGTTCATTGTGCTCCAGCGTGCTTGCGTACAGACAGTCTGTTCAAGCTACAAGCTGGTGTGGCACCTCCATGAGGTGAACAACTGTCCCCTAAGTCTCGCATAGATGATTTCCAATATTGTTTCAATTCCACAAATTTATTCCTTCAGAACTCACCAACTCTCTCTTTCCGAACGAGATAATTTCCATTCTTGTTTCAACTCTATAAATTTACTCCTTCAGAAGTCCCTTGTGCCATGCATTAATGGAACAACAAGATTGGAAATCATATATGCAAGACTTAGCGGGCAGTTGTTCAGCTCATGGAGGTGCAACACCGACTCACCCATCAACATTTGGAATGTTTTTTTTCCTGGGGCTAGCTTAGTTTCTGACAGCTTTAACAACATCAATAATTCGACACGTCACATTATTCAAAGGACTTTCGCTGGTGAACGTCCAGGAGCCTGCTGGTAGCAGGCGCTCGGAGTTCTCTGTTAAGGAGCTGGTGTGACGTCTATGATGACCGGTTTACGAACACTGAGTTGTTCTGCGCAGCACTACAGCTTGGCATGAAGCCCGCAGGATCATAGAAAAAGCAAACTCAAAATAGAGAGTGCACATATGTGTTGGAACTGCAAAGCGCACTAGGACTGACTGTCGCGGCTGAGCTATGTGCGGTGCAGACTTTGTGTCAATAATTTCCATATACGCCAGTACACCACACAATAATCTCAAGCCTACACACTAATGTGTTTCGCCGGAGTGGGGAATATGGACTTTGTTCTTTCTTCTTGGCTAAGTTTTCTCTGCCGGTAGTTTTTTGCCGCGCGTGGTCCCCTGTTCTGAGGCAAGGTCATTCGAAGCTGCACCGAGCTCCCTTGTCTGCACGTCCAAGAAGTTGCAAAAACTCAGTTAGAACGCCTTCTTAGCACATATACGTATATGCAGTTATTATGACTGTTTAATGCGAGTTTGTTACTACATTTGTGACCCCCAAGAGTGGCGGATGGAAGATGTCTGCAGCGAACATAACCCCCATCGAGGAATAGAAAGTGGTTTGTATTCCAAGGCCACTCCAAAAAAGCGAAAGATCAACCGAATCTGTATTTTGCAGGTCCCAGGAAGGTGGCTCCAGTGGTCTCGATGCTTGTAGTGCCTCCTGGACAGCTGTGCGGACACCGCAGGGAAGCCAATACCCCAACCCAGCTTAATTTGCCTTCTCATCAACCTTCGAGACGCACCACAAATATGATGCAAGTTTTTATGAATTTCTTCTCGCCATGTTACGTGAAAATTAATCTTGTATGCTGCAGCTTTTCTTGTGATTCGTTCTGGG